GTAGAGAATCGCAAGAAAAAAATCAAAATAAACTTTATGAATAATGTGGATTGGTGAAAGTTAAGCACGGGAAAAATCAGCGCGGAGAGATCAGCACGGAATAATCAGCACGTAAAAGTTCAGCACAAGGACTGATAAGCACAAGATCAATTCAGCACGGGAAGAATAAGCACATTGATTAATCAGCACAAATATTAAGTACATTCATTGGATATTCTGTTTCTAAGTTTATTTAAGAGAAATATTGATTAGAATATTACAAAGAAATATTGTAAGCAATTGAATCAATTTGAACCAAAACATCTCGATGAGGATTCGCTAGAAGATTCAACAGCCGTCTTTCAAATCGTTCATTTATTTTTTTCTTTTTTGGTGGTTGACCAGCACAGATCTGTAAAATATCCGCATGAGTTGCAGTTTCTTCATCGATTAATTTTTGAAGAAAAACCCATAGCGTTGGATGAGCACATTGAAATACTGAGCCAATTCTTCGATGATAAGCTTCGGCAGAATTATTCGTTCTCATTAAGGATTGAGTTGTTCTTTCGTGCATGTTCCAGAAATTAATTTCAAACAGAGGTTTTCTTCGCGTTTGATTTGATCGAAGTCTTCCTAAAAAATGATATCATAAAGACTTTTTGTCATTGAAGAAAAGCATTAATTACCAATATACGTTCCTTCGAAGTAGTCCATTATTTCATCATAATTATGACCGAGTTCCATTGATAAACGTTCGAATCCATTGACGACAGAATTTGGTTCCAAAAATGTCAAAGCAGCTATCTTGTGAATGTTATGTGCAAAGATCGGATCTGTCTGGTATTGATTTTGATGTCCCAATTCCTAAACCGATAAGAACATAAAATTAATACTCTCGATTATCGAGTTATCATGAGCTTGTTACTACCTTAAGTTTTCGATGAATACTCTGTCTTAAATGAAAATAACATCCGGATAATGATACATTAGGAAACGTTGCTTGGAAAGCACCAAACGAAGCTTGTTCAAAGTCGAGCATAATAGCACGTGGAGACCAACGAGGAGCAATGTTGAGTATTTCACGGATAAGATGTTGATATGTTTCATTAGTTTTTCGACGTAATAAAGCGTAAATCAATGGAATTGCATGATCACGAAATATACCATGGATGATATATAACTGATAAAATATGTCAGGAACGACTTTAAATGTTCCGTCCACGAGAAATTCTTCCGTATCTTGTAAAACATCTACTTGTTCATCACTTGCGAATATCAGGATCCGATCCTCCCCTTAATCCAGAGAGATAGATTTGTAAATAAATGATCTAGTATGGAGTACTACACGACATACCTGGTCCTGTATCACAGCGAAGAAACTGATCTTTACGTGCAGTTTTGGTCAATTGAATAGGCACAGAAGAAAAGTTTGGATCATTTGGTTCTTTCACCACTTGATTATTATGTCGCAACATTCTAATTCGTCGTTTAATATTATCACGTACTGGTAAACGAGCAATCGATGGGTCGGACATGCCTATCGATGATAAAATAAAATCTAATGGAAAAGAAAACTGATTTATTTTTACCTCTATAACAATTTGTGATGATGATGTCAGGTGTTTCTTGAGTATTGACAGCCCGATGAGCAATATGTTGATTGAAGATTCTGAGTTCAAGTGTTGTACCATCGACTTTACATGTGTGTTCACTTGGTGGTTTCACAATAGCATTAGTGGAAACACAGGTATGAAGACGAGAGTGACAACGATCTGAGAAGTATTTAATGCATCGCCAATAGGTTTTTTCACTTGTAGATCGATCGATGATGTAAGAATATCCATCATGATCGAGACGTGACTTGTTTTTCGTTGTACCGTTACTCGAAATTGTTGTCATATTGGAACAATGAGAATATAATGAAAGAGTTGTCTTTCGTAACATTATTATAGTTGTGAGAATTAATTGGCTCATCTTTACTGTGTTATAACTTAATCTAATCCAATTTCACTCTACTGTTTTCTTGATAATCATAAACAGATATTATCCATTCTATTTAACGCAATCTTTGTGCTGATTAATCAATGTGCTTATTTTTTTTTTTTTTTTTTTTTTTATTTTTATTTTTTTTTAACTGATGGTCCTAGGACCCTAACAGTACAATTAATAAAAAGAAGAGAACAATAATTGAGAGAGGGAAAGAGAGATCACATGAAGAACAGGAACACAGACGAGAAGAAGAACTACAACAAAAAATGAAAGACAAACATAAAAACGAGTGTCAGATCAATGTGCTTATTCTTCCCGTGCTGAATTGATCTTGTGCTTATCAATCATTGTGCTGAACTTTTACGTGCTGATTATTCCGTGCTGATCTCTCCGTGCTGATTTTTTCCGTGCTTAAGATGCCGGTTCCCGA